TACATTCTATGGTGAAAGATCGGCTTGTGATGTATCAAAAATGAACGAGTTCGTATTGTCCTTATTTATCACAGCTGCACCTAGACAGACAGAAAAAACGAGTAACAAAAAAAATTTCAATTGTTGCTTCCATGGCAATTGGCCTCTCGTTTTTCTTACCTCCTGGTTTGTGAGACCCATAGCCACTGCCATCCTGCGAAAACGAAAATTACAAACTGAATAATTGCTTTTCCTTTCTTGGAGCGCATAAAAATTTTCTAAACCAATGATAATTCGATCATGGTCAAAGGAGTAGAGCAACGACATGGTCATTTTCTGGTTGACCAAACGCAAGTGTTATTCTATTGTGCATCAGACCGTCAGATATAGCAGCCATGGTCACAGATCAATACGTGAGTGATCACGACATTCTTCCACTAGAGCGACTTAAGCAGGAAAGAACGATCGATTTGAAGCAATTCGAAGCAGAAACTCTTACCTGGCTGAGGATTAGTGTTCGCCACGATATCCGTAGTTATGAATAAAACAATATAACAAAGAAGAAGTTTTCTACTAGTTAATCATCACAGCGTTGATTAGAAATGACAGCTGTTTCTTTCTGTTACAGTATGCATAGGAACTATTCCTGGATTCTTTCTTGATAAAAACTACCGTTGTCGTGAGGGCTTGATGGATGGGCGTGGGTGATGCAAAGACCTACACCTACGCGCGCATCCACATCCACATCTTATGCTCTCGATTTCTATTTTGTACTCTAAAGCTAATATTTCAGAGTCGGTCACATTCTTAGGCATAATACCAAACGCTAATAAGAAATCATCAAGTGCTTGAATCATTATTTCAGAAACCATGGAAAACTGATTCTAAGAGGTTGCTGCTAGTCGAGATTTAATATCGAAAAAATTTATTTTCACATTCTTCGAACTTATCTTTTCCACGAATAACTATCTGTCCAATAACATAATTTAAACGTTTTATATCATCTGGTTCTTTTCAACGAGTTGTGAACGGTGTAAAGGTGTGGGTGTGGGTGTGGGTGATAACAAGAATGACACCCACACCCACACTCTCAAATGGTGATAGATGCTTATAATCATGCTTTCTTCTTCCAAAACTTCAATAAATGTCAAAACGAGCTTGCGCCCTTTTAAATGAAACTGATAATCTGTTTTATTCTAAAAAAAAAATAAAACAAAAACCAATAATAATAATAATAATAATAATAATAATAATAATGTAATATAATATAATAGTATGATATGATCATAATGATGTTGAACGAAAAAAATAATAAACAACAACAGCAATCACAAGAGAAGAAGAGATAACCAGGAGAGAGATTACAGAAGGACATTAAAGAGAAAGAGAAAAATCAATGACAAAAAATATAAAAAGTGAGCATCATAAAGTGCCATCTGTTGACACTAAAAGATACCAACAGTATCGGGAGGCGTATCTAATTGCCGTACTGCCCGATGCGAACTTTTGCCAATCAATGAGTTTTCGAAAGAATAGCACTTTCCCCAATGAATCTGTTCACAACTGTATGCAAGAATGAGAAGTAATATGAAATATTTAGATCATCTTTATCGAAAATAGAGAAGTTCGTATATATGTACTTGTAGTCATGGTAACGCATTGTCTTTCAATCTTTTGATGATATCTGAACTTTCATGTTTCACAAACTGTACGATCGAGCATGACCGCGAGCATGTTTCTCTCTCTTTCATATTCTAATCGTCATTAATCTGCTAATGCATATTGGAGAAGAGTCATAGATCGACATGTGAAATAAGACACATGAATACTCTAGTCCTAGACTAATTAATATCCATTACTGTACATCTTGACTTCCAATGATAACAAAACATCCTGAATGTAAAAAGAGACGAACATTCTCGCTACCAAACTCATATCACAATTATCTACTGATTTTTCATTGGTCACTACTGAACACATGGTACGACATGGTACGTGCGAAATCGGCATAGCAACCCATCTACATGTAACTGTGACTTGTGGTTCGATCAATAGCACTTATTTCATCTCCTTGATCTTCGTCCTTATATATGCTCTTGCCCGATGTAATTATTTATTGCTTTTATATTATATTAAGAAGAAACAGAAAGAGAAAAGCAAAAGAAAATACATAGAATGATATGTGCTCGATGCTGAATTACGGGATATTCGATCCAGAAAATGTCTCACTTTTTCATGTACATCATCGACAGCTTTAACATTATCAGCGTTCGAATAATTAGCGCCAGTCGATACGAATCCATGTATCATGTTTGGATACGTTTCATATTGGCATTGATTAGCTACTCTTGGACTTGTCCATTTTTCAATGACATTCGAAATATTGGGCTTCAACGGCGGATCATCACCGGCAGCTATGAATAGTATTGGTTGCTGTAAGTGACGAACTTCGTCTTCTGTCAACCATGCACCATGAATTGAAATGCCTGTAAAAAAGAGTGTCGATAGATTCGAACAGGCTCGAACAACTTGTAGACCGCCCCAACAGAAACCAATGACAGCAATGCGATGAGATGGTGATGTGTTTTGAAGCCAGGAAGCAACTTCACTAAGATCAGTTGATACTTGAGACCAATTACCAATTAGAGATAAAACTACGCTAAGATTACTCATATGTGACGATGCTGTTTTACCGCGAAAGAAATCAGGCATAGCCACTTTTACTTTGTATTCGGCGGAGAGACGATCACAAAATACACGCGTTTGGCTTATATTGAATCCAAATATATCATAGATCACAATAACCGATAAATCTTTAGTTGAATCTGTATTATTACCAACCGTATAAACATCGACGTTTTTTACCCGAATTACTTCACCTTTCGGATAAGTGTCATTCCATAAAGTTGTTGTTTGACTTTCTACAATGAAAAACATCTATTTTCTTATAATATTATTCTAACGATCCGAACTCACCCACAAAACCAATAAATACAGCTAGTAGACAGAGCAACTGCATCGTATTGTTGTTGTTCTTGAGAATAACACGTGCACGATAGTGAAGACAAAAATTGTCGTAAAGCTGCCTATAAACGCTCGCTGACGATGACAGAGCAAAATGTTAAAAAAGACGCAAGGTAAAATATCAAGAGGTGTGTTGTATATTGACACACAGCAAGATATAATGTTTTATGTGCTTGATTATTGGATATTATTTTACCCACTTATTCAGCGCATGCATCAATGGTATATCGATTTCGTCTTTTCAATAAAAGGATGATAGATAGGTTACACAAAAGACAAACTATATTTAAGTGGCATAAGCTTCTCTATTTATTTATTTGCATAGAATAGCATAATTAATATATATGAGCAAATTAAATAAAGAAAATTAATCAAAATGAAAATAATCTATTTTAAATCATTTACATGATTCTTTAAATGATTGATACATCATAAAATGTATAAAATTTATGAATTTAATTCGAGTACAACAACGTTTGAAAAGTTTCGATCTTGCCGACAGTGTATGAATAAAAACCATGTGTCCATTTTGCCGTAACCAGTGAGAAATATGTACTATACACAATGCTAGAAAACAGACAGTTTAAAGCGAAACATTAGATAAGAAAGAGGCTAGTATGACATAAATTATCAAATTTCAGAAGCTACTTTGAGAAAAATGCCATAAAGATTGTAAAATTCGAGAATCACTATTAAAACGATCGAAACCGTCTGTTCAAAAATACAGTACTTTCCAGGAAATCTCCTAGAGGTATAAAAGAAGCAAGAGTAAATGTCTCAACAATTTCCGTGATAACTCTTAAACAGCAAAAATTTTTTTAAATTTTAATCATTCATATGATCATAAGGAACCTCTACTCCGTAAACAAGTGAAAGTTTTAGAAATTACAGAGGAATTTCGGAAATAACTAGAAAACTTCTTTGTAAAGATTATATGAACTTCTTTACTTATTACTATAATAAAAAGAAGATCCTAGCCCATGAATCATAGAAAATTTTCGAAATTTCTGAAAAATTTAGTAGATTGAGAGATTTCTCTGTAATTCCTAAAATTTCCATTCACTCATGCGTATGGTCTTGTTTATTATCATATGAACGATTAGAGTTTTTTAAAATAACCTTTATATGGAGTGTTTATAATCTAAACTTTGTGGAGATTGGTCTATAATGTCTGAATACTCTTAGAAATTATCTGGAAATTTTTTTGCTGTGTAAGTGATGCCACGAAAATTGTTAATAAATCTACTTTTGCTTTTTCTTATATCGCTGGGAAACGCCCTGAAAAGTGCTGTATTTTCGAACAGATCGCTTCGATTGCTTTAGTGATAATTATGGCAATTTCTGAACTTTTCAAGTTGTATGGTCTTACTGTGGGAGTGGTTTCTGAAGTTTGATAATTTATGAGAGA